TTCTTTGTTCTCTCTCTCACATCTGTATCCTTCCTTTTGCATGAGCAGGTAGTCAATACTACATCAGATGAGTTAAGCTTTCTTTGCCACCGAAGAAAGTATTGTCAATTAGTGAGTTGAACTATCCAAGTCCAAAAACCCAAAGCCAGTGTACTTTTCTTCTTCTCAAACTCTACCAAATGTCAACTATAGCTTATTCCCGAAACTTTTACTGGTTGCATCTTCCGTGGAGATTACAAGCTGCGGGAACCATACCGGAACAAAGAATTCCTTTGACAATAACATCAAAGACATCTCACAAAGGCTCCTCTTATGAAATGAAATGAACGTGCAGAACAAATCCAAGAAGCCTGATCCCGGAATTTTATCCTACAAGAACAATTATGCTAACAGGAATGCTTATGGTGACTTTGATATGACCTCACTTGAACCCATTCATGATGAAACTAAGGATAACCAGAAGGCTGGTTTACTTCACAGGCTTTACAGACAATTTTCAAGGGAAACTGTTGGTTTGAAGGTTACAGAGATAAACGGATCTGATGCTGGAGTTGCGTTCTTCCTTAATTTCTCCGTTCACACTCTGAAGACTGATCACAATGAAGGAGAAGACACTAGAATACTCCCTGTTCATTATTCAGATAACTATTTTTCACTAGTTCCTGGTGAGGAAATGTCAGTAAAGGTCGCCTTCGAGGCCCCTGAAGGCATCACTCCAAGAGTAGCTCTTCAAGGCTGGAATTATCATTGTGAAGTGACCACTGTTGTTTGACCTTTTTCTCTATGTTCGGGTTCGAGCAGTTCTTACTGCTTGAGGATTCTGGTTGTTCTGTTACATTTGGGGAACAAGCTTCAATGGAGGTTTAGGGATAAAATTGAATGTCTTGTGTGTTTTCTATATCTCCCCTCTGTTTATATGTATGAAAGTGGTTGCGATATCCGAATGCAAGAGTGATCCATGGGCATCCCTCATGTTCAGTTTCATTTTCTTCCTCATACCTATGGTGGCAGGGGTAGTAGATTGGATAATTTTAAACACTATAATATACACATTATGATAATTTCTGGTAATGACTAATGAGTTAGTTATATTATTAAACTCAAAACAGAGATAAAACTACCAATCACCAACTGAAAATCGAAATCTAGACTGAGAAAGAAATGAAACTATTGAGTCTACTGTTTGGTACCACCAATTCTTCCAGTTTCTGCAACCGGTTCAGATCTCGACAGCCAAATTAGTTTTACTGTAAGATCCCCTGGTCGTCACCGGAAATGATCCTCCCTCTCCGGTTCTCTCCAGTTCCTCCGCTTATACCGTCCTCAGTGTCGATCCTAATTACTCTGGTGCCGAGAAAAGAAAATGTGGATAATTTTTAATATTTACTATTTTTTTATTTGAGTAATTTCTAGTTTTATTTACAAATCATGTATCGTTCAACAATCAATTAAATGGAAATTTTAATGTTTAAATGTTTTTGTAAAATACTCTTTTGCTTTATACACTATTTTTTCTCACATGTGAAAACACAGTAAAAAATTCTGGTTAAACACTTTAATTATTGCATATTTTTAATATTATTATCTAAGCTTTGCATTTCAGTGCCATGAGAGGTTTCACTTTTTTCTACATGTGAAAACACAGTAAAAAATTCTGGTTAAACACTTTAATTATTGCATATTTTTAATATTATTATCTAAGCTTTGCATTTTCAGTGCCATGAGAGGTTTTGATTTACAGTAACACAATCCAAAATTGGTCTCTGTTAGATGGAATAAGACTGTATTATATGTTACTCAAAGATCAGACCCTAATCATTAAGATTATGGGTCCAAAATCACCAAAATGATCGTTTTTTACATGAACTTTACAATGATGATCGTTTTTACAACAATGGCATGAATATTGAGATTCACAATAAAATAAAATAAAAAGAATATTGAGATTCACTGCCTTTCAGCTGAAGGCCGCAAAGGCATGAATGATTGCTTCCTTTGCGTGCGTCTGAACTTTAGTGGACTCCAAACCAACGATTTCCGTTGCAAAGCAACGACGGTTGGGTGTGTTGGCTTCCATGAACCTGCTTGCATTGGAGGACTTCCCATGAATTTGCTGCTGCTTCTCATGGCTGCAGGTGTTGTTGTCTCTGATGCCGAAGGAGGAAACAATCTCGAATACCTCGTGACTGAAGGAGAAAACAATCTCGAATACCTCGTGTTCTTTGGATCCCGCATTAATGATAGTCTATTGGCATAATTGAAACCAGCAGTAGAGCTGCGGAGAGGTGTTTTCATGTGAGAATCTGGCCGGAAGGTGGCGATTGATACTCGCCTTTTCGGCTTGCGAACTGTTTTCGTGGTTATCATGGCCGCAGGTGTTGTTTCTGATGGGTTCCTAAGCTTTGGTAATGGAGAAAACAATCTTGAATACCTTGCCTTCCTCACATCCCGCATTAATGATGGTCTATCCATTGTACTGGCATGGTTGAAACCAGAAGTAGAGTTGCAGAGTGGTGTTGTCATGTGCGAATCTGGCCGGAAGGCAGAGACTGATAGTCGCCTCATAGGCTGAAAAACTGCTTTCATGGTAGTTGGAGGTCTGACAGCAATGGAGTTACGTCTTGGTGCCATCGTGTTTTTTAGGTTGTTTTCTTTGCCCTCTGGCACTGTTGCCATTCTAGTTGTCTTTCTGTTGTTTGGCATTGGTGTTGTCGGCATAGGCATGAAATTATTGATTTTTCGCAACGGTAGCCTCAGTTTTGATGGAACCACAGGTGGTTTTTTCTCCATTTTGGTCTTCTCTGCTTCTTGCTTAAGAGATGATCTAGTAGAAGCTGCAGCAGCAGCAGAAAAAGCTCTTGTTTCCAGCTTTATTCTGGTTTTCCGTTCCTCTGCTAATTGAATTTCAAGGTCACGAACCTGTCATCAAATACCAGAGAAAGGAAGATGATACATGACGGTAACACCCGACAATAGTTACCTCTCAGAAAGTAACTTTCTTTGGTTGTGTTTAATGATAATTACCTTTTCTTGTAGGGTTCTGCATATATGTTCTCGGGCAGCCAGTCTCAACTGCAAGGACTGTACATTATCTTGCAACTTCTTTGTTTCCTTCATCATGTTTTAACTTTCTGTCTGTTAATGAATCAGAGGTCAAACTGAGTCCATCCAAAGAAATTGGAAATGTATGTGTGTATTGTGGGTTATCAATTTGCCTACCATTTGCTTATACTTGTTGCTCCTCGAATAAATCCTTCAATGGAATCTTTCCAGAAGGGGATAATAATGATACTGTTGTGAAACAAAAGCTTACCTAGAGAGCTCTGTAGCATATGTGTGAGCTTCGAGTTCCTGGCTTCATGGAAAAGTAGAAGAGTAGAAGTGTTAATATTAGACTTGGTTTTTGATGCGCTGAGTTATGTGTTGTGTTTGCATGAGAGTGATGAGATAGGAGGGAAGGAAGGGGGACAAACCTGTAAGGAATATGGCTAGATTTGAATGCAAGGGCAGAAATCACATCCCGAGCGCTGAGAGAGATTTATTTATAAAACTGGGATTCCTTCAACCTTTCACCTTCAGCTTCAATCTTTCCCACACGTTCACTGCCAGCCAAATCTACCAGCCACAGGTGACTCCTAGTCTTTTGGCCATTGATCAAATTCGTTCCCTTTACAGTTACACGCAACAAGCTGCAAGAGACAATTGTTTGCATTATTAACAAAGCATATGCTTTGGTGCACCATGGTTTTCTTAGCCAATGTGGTTGAATAACAAATTTCTGTTATTAAGATCACAAAAGGTCTAGCCCCTTAACATAATTCAGAAAGTGAAAAATTACCAGTGAGAACGGCTGCTTAATTCATTGGCATTGGTTGCTCCAACTGTTCTCACCGGCTTCCAGACTTAAGAAGCTTCCACACTTCCTCTGTATTGTAAACACGAGCTTGAACAAGTCCTGGGACTTCTTGTGTCCCTTCAGCTGCTTGCTTTATCTCCAACCTTTTATCAAAAAATGGACGTCAATTCAAACTCTCTAAAACTGAGGTTCTTAAATCACAAGTTAGGAAAGAACCAAAGATTGGTAAGAAATTACGAGGTTTATTTTATTTAGCAGTATCAACTATCAACGGCCTCATATCAGTAGGAATAGTTATTGAAGTTTGTGCCAATGAATTTATTCATCTTGAAATGATAAGTAAAACAGGTGTTCAAGCTGGCTTTAGATAAATGTGTGTTTACGACCGGACTTTATGGTTAGCCAACAACTTACAATTTAACCTTAGGAACTAACCTTTTAGTAGTCTGGTTGGAGTTTTCTCCTAGAAGGTCCTTTATCTTTTCATTGTAGACCTCCATCATGCTGACAAATATCTCATATTTCATTACGCACTTCTCTCTTCAAAACTCGAAACAACTCCTCCAATCATGTAGTTAACTCCCCTGTTATCTGGTGTTCCTCCATAGTAAATGTCTTCCCAGTTCCAGTTTGCCCATAAGCAAATATGCAGACATTATAGCCATCCAATACAGAAGTAACAATGGGTTTAGTTCGTGCAAATACAGCCTCTGGATAAAAAAGAAGAAGGCATAATTAAAAGTATTTAGAGTGAACTTCGTCAAGACATCTCAGGTAATGACAGTAAACTCGGCCAAGAGGTCACAGGTTACCTTGGCCATCATCTGGCCTAAATACATGGTCAAAATTGAATTGCTTCTTGGAAGAATCAGAAGAAACCATCTGTAGCTCAGTTTATGGGAAGGATCAAATTCAACTACAGAAGTGGACCATTGGCAACTTCAGATTGATTCAGTGGTCTACATCTGCAAAAACCCTGATGTTTCCTTTAAGCTCAATCACTTCATTGTAAAGGCGTTTCCTCTCTGATGACTCATGTAGGTATTTCTTCTTCAAAAGTTCATGTTCATCATCTATACCAAAAAAACTGAAAAGCCAGTTAAACCAAAAGAAAAAAAGCAAAACAAGATCCAACACAATGGTTCCTTCAATCGTTGGGTACTTTGAGGAGCTGAAGAGTTCCTACATGTCATGGCTAAAAAAGACTTCACTTGACTAGACAGGATCTCGTGCTCCTTCTTCAAATACTATGGCATTTAAGGAAGTCAGCAAAGTCAAATTCTTTAACCTCTAATTAAATTTCGAACATAATGAAAATCAATAGCTTATTCTATTTACCTGAATACGTTACTCAAATCAATAACTTTCTTTAATATGGGAAGAGTTGGCCCCTAGCCGGAGAAGTTTCGGGGTTCATGTTGGATAAAGTATCTTCATCCATGGAATCCATATACTCTCCAAATTCCTCTAAAGCAACAGCGAAAAAATAAACTTAACATAACTTAATGCATGACCAAATATTAGCATTTGAAGCATATAAATGCATCTATAGATTAAGAACAGAAGAATCACGAAACATTTCTTTGCTAGCCAATACAAACGGTTCATAAACCTAATCAAGAGTTTTAATTAATTGCAAAGACGGTTTAAAACCACTTAATATATCTCAGATATTCTAAGTCTAGAACTAAACAAGCAAGTCACAAAAATCATCAATCATCTTCATAAGTAGAAATCCAAGTAAGCATTTTCTAGGGTTTCTAACATGTAAAATATCCCAAATCATTAATTTTTTTTACTATTTAGAGAACTTTTCTTCAAATTTACCTAAATTATCGTTTCGAACGTACCGAATATCTCAAATTTTGCCTGAATGATTTCTCAAAATCGAGAAAGAATAACGTACCTCTATCAGAATCCGGAGAAGGTTTGACTCGCGATTCTCCACTGTTTGATAGGAAAAAAATATGTTTTTTAACAGAAATGAGAGAATTCGATCAATCAAATTGAAGGGAAAAACAAAGTAAACGAGCACCAACCTTTATCAAGAACGACATGTTCGCAACTGTCCGAGCACATTTGACACAGAAAAATCCAAGAGTTCAATTACCAGAACGAGTAAAACTTGAAAGAGATAAAAGAAGTTGGGAAAAAGAAAAGCTTTAGGGCGTTGAGTTTAAAGGGAGAAATTGAGAGTCGGTGGTGGATTGGATTTTGAATTAAAACGAATGAAAGGCTATAGCTGTTACTAATTCTAACGCTATTTTCATCTTCCTTCTCCGTATTAAAATTTGGATTCGGGTCGTTTTAACCCGATTAAGTAATATGGAGGCCTTTCGTAACTGAAGTAAACATCGATTTCAAGAGTTCAGATTTGGACCCGACCCTTTGTTAGGATCCATTTGATAGACATGTAGATGATTAGTTTTTTTTTTATAATGAAGATTACGAGATAGTATCTGTTCAGAATTTTATTAATTAATTGATAACACACTCGTCCTACATACGCAATTGCTCGAATTCAAGCTAAAAAACAAATCTATGTGAGAGGTAGGAGGGGCAACTGTCCCCTAACTTTGATGGTTTAATTGATTTTAAGTCACTAATATTTTTGAATTATTATAATTAAACCATTGCCACTTCTAAAATTTATTGGTTTTAATTATATTTTAAGACCCTTTCAATTTTAAACGAAATTTTGACTTCTAATTTTTTTTAAATTTAATTTCTCTTTAAGACCATTCAATTTTAAAATTAATGAAATTAATCATAACTCCTTAAATTTATGATTTGTTCGATTTTAAATATCTTATTTATTTCAAAGTTAAGCAACTTGTCCCCTCATAGTTCAATTATGACTCCATCCTTACCCAGGTAGGGAGAACAATATTCTCTTTGCCATTGAGACTACTTGATGATTTCATATAAGATAATTAGTTAAGCGCCAAGAATAATTATATTTTGGAAGTAATTATATTCATTTTAAAATATTTTATAATTATAATTTTAACCGATGATAATATCTCATTAGACCACATATTTTTTTTAAAGTTAACGATACTCGACTTAAATTAGGGGGAAACGAAAACAGGAAAAGCTTAAAGTGAGAATTTCACTCTTGTCAAATATAATTTTATATTTTAAGACTTAAATATATCTGGTATTTGAATTAGATAATTTTACATACGATATAATCGTATATTGTTAAGTCAATAAACATATTGATAACACGAATCAATAACCTCAGTAGTTAAGAAATTATTATTTCTTAAGATATCGGGTTCAAGCACCACGTATGTAAATGTGTATGAACGTTCAATATTAAATGATTGAGAGTCTATAAACGAATATTATCTTGTATTTCTCTCCCGACTAATAAAAAATTAAACATCCAATTGAGTTTTACCCATTTCATATTTATTTTCATTTGTAAAAATTAATAATTTATCACATCATACATCAATGATTATCATCAAGAGTCATACCTATATTTATGATTACAATTTCATTAATGCATTATTCACATACACACTTCCTAGTGCTTTTACATGCTCAATGATTTATAACATTCTTAATCATATTAATGTGCATGAAAATATAGGATCAATGAATAACAACTCAACATTCATTGATATAAATCACATCTAAAACATCTCATATACCTCATTTTAGTAAAATTTAGTAAAATGGAATGAAACAAACTCTCAGAGATAATATTTTTAAGTCAAATCGAGTTTTTATTCAACATGAATACATGCTTATAGAATAACGTCAGGATTCGAACCCCTGACCTTGCTTAAAAGATCTAGTGCCTCATTTCACTAGATCAACTAATTGTTGGTATTTTTTCTTTCACTTCACTAGACGATACTCCAAATGAATCGAATCTCGACATAGAAATTAAAGATAATAAATTAAGGTATTTTTTAATCTTAAATTTGATCTAAATCACCTCTAATAACAATATTAGAATGATCTAAACCAACACCACTAATTAAATCAGGAACTCTATTTTTTTTGGAAAAATTAAATTTAAAGCTAGAGTAAGAAAATCATCAATTTTATTATTCCGAGTTTAGATTCGTTGAAATAAGTTAAAAAACCCTCAAAAGTAAGAAAATTCAGTTTGACACATTTACGAAATTCACCATTCAAACCTCAAAAACTTTGAAACTCTCATAATCTTAGATTTAGAAGAACGATTAGTATCATTGCATAAAGTTGACAGGATTATTCAAAAGGCATGATGTTAAAATTAGTTTCCAATGTTTATCAAAATGGTCATATTGTTTCTTATTATACCTTTCGGAGTATTCTGGCCTCAAACGTTTTATTTTAGAGAAAAAATACCCCTAACATTTGACAGAATAATCACTTTGTCCCTTATTTTTTAGGGTATTTTAACCCTCAATGTTTCATTTTAGGCTAAACCATGCTCCTATTTTGGAGCATTAATCCTGTATTAACTAATAGTTTTCATCTATAGAGGGAGCTTTTTTCCATAAATTGAATGTTAGTGGCTAAAATAACCATTTTAGTAACCATTTGGCGTTATTTTTAGTATTATGCCTATTCAAAAGGGATAACCTAAAAAAGTGGTAAAATCGATTAAATGAGGCGTTGGGAAAAAAGATTGGCTCATATAAGGTGATGGGGAAAATATTTTCTGAGATGGGGTGATTGCTACAGTGCCACCAGGATGACACCGGGAGCAATGAACACAATGTGTCTTCAGAAAGACGCGACGACCACAATACGTCTTTAGAAAGACGATGACCACAATGCGTCTTCTGTCTTCTAATTTATTACTTTGTTTGTCTTGGCGTTCTAATTGCATAAAATATAGAGAAGACGCATTGTGCTTCCGACATCTTCCTCAACATTGTAGCAATCACCCCATTTCAGAAAATATTTCTCCCACCACTCTGTACGAACCAATATTTTTTTCAACGTCCCATTTGATCGATTTTGTTGAAAAACCATAGATTATTCAATAAGTTGACAGGATTTTGACATTATTATTAATGAGATTTCATCACAGCAGACACCAATTATTTCTTTCAGACAAAATTAACAAGGGTAAGTACATTGGCAAGTAATGTTAAGACGCCCAATACAAACTCCTCTAGCTTGATTTCCATGTGTAGAAGTGCATTGTGCTAAGCAAGGATCGTTTTTGCAGCCTTCACATCTAATTTCTTTGGCATGTTTTCTGTCCTTCTCCTTCTTTTCCTACATGCGTTAAAATTCCAACAATGTTTAATATATATTAGCAACAAGAAAAATAATTTTCCACGTACAATCAGGGACGAACATAGGATTTTATGTTAGGAGGGACGAGTTTTTAAAATATTAAGAGAAACGAACTTATAAAATTCTAAGAGACGAAAACATATTAACAATAAAATATTTAAAATACATCGGTCCATCCCTGCATACAATGATCGTTGTGTAAATCATTAAAGCTAACCCTTTCCAATTTTGTCCTTTTCTTGTAATATATATAACAAACATAATTAATTCTTTATATATGAGGGCGGAAGCACTGAGCCTTCTAGGAGAGTAAGTGCATCCTTATTATTTCAGAAAATTATTAAATTTAGTTTAATGTGTTAAGGATAAGAGAAAAATAAGAAAATTTGCATACTCATTCTTTTTTTTTTTTTTAAATATTAAAATTTTGAACCCATTATTAGATTCTTGGATCTGCCACTGTTTATATATATATATATATATATATATTTAGAATAGGATAGCTTATTATATACATGTTGGTAGAAGCTATGTAAAAGAAAATATATTGGAGTAAATTACCTGCTGCCAAAAGAAGAACCAACATGAAAATGGCATACACCTTGTAACTCTTCATTCCTTTTCTTTTATTTTCTCTTTTGCTTTAGTTAAATATTGTGCCCCAAGTGAGAAAAAAACATGCAAATTCTCTTAAATTTATATGTGACTGAGGGGACAAATTATTGGAGAGAATTAGTCAGAGAATATAAAAAATCTCTTTGATTTTTTCCTTGTTTATAGGAAAGGTTGTTTCAAACTTCATATGTACTAGTGATGATTGTTGTATACATTATTTTTATGTTGAAAATTTTGAATCAGATTAAAAATTACAATAAAATCAAGAGAAAATTAGATAAGGTGTGAAAGGTAGAGGGGAATTCGAATAAATACCTAAAATGAGGTGGAAATAGTTGGATTCATAAGGTAACCGGTGTTTCCCCCATTAATTTGGGGAAATTACCGTATAATTTGGATTGACTAATTCAAATCGGGTTTTACAGAGACCCATTCTGGGGCGACCTACCCTCTCACCAAAATTGTTTCATAAACAATCGTCAGGATTTGAAGTACCCCTGATCTAACCTAAGGAATCTAATGCTTCATCCCACTAAATCAACCGATTGTTGGTAGAGTTCTAAATTTTATTAACACATCAAGTAAACATATTCTACTCTATCAAAATAGAGTGAGAGTTTATCTTTGATAGATGCATCACCTTTATTGTACAAAGTTCTTCTTTATTCAATTGCTTGTGATTCAAGGTACTTCCTGCATTTTGCATAGCATGCTATGGATGTTACTCAAAGTCAGAATTTTTGAGAATTCTTGAAGAATATTATCATATACTAATATGTATATATCCGTGGTTCATGTGTTGAAGATTCTGAATAAGAATACATACAAGAATAAAATCAAGAGGGAATTAGGGTTTCAACATATATTACTGTTCGAATATAAAACTAGAAAGTGTAGCTGAAAAAGAAAAGTACATTATTCAACAAATCCATAGGATTTCGACATTATCTTTAATGAGATTTGGTCACATCAAGCAGAAAATTTCGAAAATGGAGTAATTACAAGGTAGTACTATCTGTTTAAATTTTTTTATCCTATTGACAACATACACATTCCTTGCAGACGTAGCTGCTTGAATCTGGATCCTCAACTCTCT